CTTTATTTTCGATTGCTACTGAAGGTGCACACTGGGACTATCTACACTTTGAAGCAAGATATAGAGAGGTATATCGAGAAAGTTATCGCTCATAGCTCTCCTTCTGTTTGATGCATTTGCTAGAGATTTTTTAAGGAATCTTATATTAGTCATAGCTCGTTATTGTTCAGAAATTTTGGAATAAATTGTTCGGAATTTGTACCATATAAAAAAATAGGAAATTTTAATATTTCAATGCATTATTCTCTCTGCACAAAGAAAGATGGAAAGGGCGAAGCCAAACTGTTTCGCACAGTTTTGAGCGTACATAGGCAACAAGTATAATAGAAAATAATTTGAAAGGACTGTATTTTTTATCTTTACAAGAAAGGAGATACTAGGAAATGTAATACCCACCAAGATCCATTCCTGTTTAGTGTACCAAAGAAATTATACTCAAGAATCGTAGAAGCTGGAATAAGAAATATTGTCGATTGCCAGAGCGATATGGATTGAGAAACTCATGTTGCACATTGGAAGAGAAGTTGAAAATTGGGACTGTCTCCACTTATAGAGAAGTCCGTATAAAATGAAAAATAGCTCTCTATCTGCTTAGTGCCTCACACTTTGGATTATGCTAATATCTACTTGTCTTTCAGAAAATCTCATTTTCCTTTTAGATTCCTTAAAAAATCGTTTGCAAATGCACTAAACAGACTAAACTTTCTCGATATACCTCTCTATATCCTGCTTCAAAGTGTAGATAGTCCCAGTGTGCACCTTCAGTAGCAATCGAAAATAAAGTGGTTTTCACCATAATAAACCTACATCGTCCACTTAATATCATCCAAACTGCAATTGACCCCTTTTAGCAGCATCTTGAAATATTCTGTTCATCTGTCTACTATAGATTCATTTAGCTATATAATGGATACTGGTCGTTTTTATCTTTTCCGAGGTTTTGGCACTTCCTTTCTCGTTCGCTTAATGTATTTTTTCAATTTCGCGTTTTTCCTCAATTTGAGATCAAAAACAAACAATCACTTCTGGTTTATAGAACAACTTATAGAATCACCCCTTCTATCTTTCTTTGTGCATAGAGAATAATTCATTCAATATTATAATTTCCTATTTATTTATGATATAGTCCAACTTCCGCACAAAATAAAGGAAATAAAAATTAATTTTTTAATTAGTGATATATGAGTTTTACTAAACAACCCGCCAGCTATTCATTATATATAGTTCAGATTAGGTATATATTATTTTAGTTTATAAAACAGGTATTAATATGACTCATTTCCTGAGAAGTATATAAAAATTTTAATTACCTCTAAGATTCAGTAAATATACCAAACTCAGTATTAAATTGCAAACGTTAATTAAAAAAAAAATCAAGATATTTTTTAATTAAGTTTTATTATTATAATTATATCATTTTTACAATTGAGGTCTTCTTAAACGACCTACGTATAGAATAAAGGAGGTTAAATTAAAAAAAAATAATAATAATTTTTTTTTAATTTTAATTTTTTTTTTACAGTTAAATTATTGCATTAATATTTGTTCGTTAATTAAACCAATATAATGTACCAAAAATGTTATTATACCACTATAACTAAGCCATTTATGTGTACTGAATGGTGTGGTAGAGGCCTTTAGGCACCCACGCCAGTACCGCTTTTCTGCCGCATAAGTGTATTTTCTACGAAACTGCTTCAAATATTTTAAAAAGTAATCAGCATTTTAGAAAGAGAAATATATTCTCCAGATGGTTTATTTCAGCACGTTTTACGTTATTGTAGACCGTTTAATTACAAACGACGCTTGATTTGTAACTTGAAAATTTTTTTGATAAAAAAGTTGACTTTACTGGTGTTTTTCATAGCCTAAGCCAATTATTTTTTTATATTTCTTCATGTTTTATTATTCTATGACATCATCAATGACAAGCATCGTCAGGTAATCTGGAAAACGAGAGTAGCAGGGATGATGAAAATAGATTACCGAAGATATGGGAAAAGTAAGATTCGCGTCATCTGGTCCCAACCCGGGGTGAGTGAAGAGCAAATCCGTACGGCACTGAAGGACGCCACGGAAGCGGGAAAAACGCACCATCTATATGTTGGGAATAACACGGTATGGGATAAAATAAAGCGGATGTGGAGATCCGAGCGAATAGGAGTGGACAGAACGCTCATCCGTTGCAAGTATGCAGTGGAAACTATACAGGATGAGGAGCAACAACAGGCAGTCACATTGGCTTATCACCAGGGGAAAACCAACCACCGAGGCGTGAACGAGACGTTGCAGGCATTACGTCGAAAGTATTTCTGGTGGGGCATGTAAAATCCATCCAAGAGATCATAGGGAAATGCGAGGTGTGTATGCGCACGAAATATGATCGACACCCCCCCAGAGGAGTTCAGGAAGAGACACCTACAGGGAACATGCCACTACAGGACCTCCAGATTGATACATTTACCTGGAGAGGGTTCAAGTGGGTCACGGTCATCGACGTCTTTAGCAAGGTAGCTATGGCACAACAACAATTAATGAACCATTAGTCGTGGAGAAGAGTAACGGGGAAAATTAAGCGGGAAAAGGAGAAGCGGGTAGAGAGGCAAAATGTTCGCGTACGTGACCAAATGGGTGACCTAAAGATAGGGACAATAGTGTACCGTAGAGTAGGAACCAACAGAGGGAAACAATTGTTACGGTACGAGGGTCCATTCAGAGTGATTGCTATTAGGGAGCATAATCTGCTAACTATCGAAAGCGTTAATGAATCTAGAAAGAGGAGAACTGTTCACATTGAACAATTGAAGCTCCCAATGATAGAACCGGAACATAGACCAATAGATTCGTAGTACCCTCACCGCGGTTTATAAGAAATATGTTTTTTTTTGGCTGTCAAAACAGAAATATGGTGTAATTTCTTTTTTTTTTGTATGTGTAAATAGAATCATAGCAATACAGTAGAGGAAAGTGTATTATTTTTTTTTTTAGGGTTATTAAGAGTTCTGTTCTTGGAAGCAAGTGTTGTGTTTAGTTTCTGTGTTTTTTTTTATTTATTATTGTATGTCTCGAGTGAGTTTTAGTTTCTTTCAAGTGTATACTGGTAAGAACAATTGTAAGGTGTTAAGGCTGATAACCGTTGGCTCCGATCTAGGAATATCTAAGTTTCTGAAAATCCTATTCGTAAACTGGTGGGGGGGAGATAGAGACCGGAGACTGGCGATATCAGCCTTAATGCTGTCCTGAATGTAAATAAACATAAGAAATGTATATAAGGAGGATTACTAAATGAAGAAAGCAGTGTCTATTCAGAAGCCGAGAGTGTTGCATCTCAACCCCTTTCCTTTCTTTTTTTTTATTGTTATAGTCCGCCGACGCTTAACTTATAGTTTTCTTTTCTATATAAATTATATTTAGTTTTTCTTGTACTTTTAATGATTGCAATCTAGTTTTCATTTATATCTTATGTAGGTTTTTCCTTCAATGGATTTCAATGCTCTTAATAGCATTCAAAACACTAGTATGTCATGTGTGAGGTTACTGCGACCACAAACATGTAATTTATTATTATGACATAATGTAATGAATAAAAAAAAAAAGTAAATAAATGATAATTTTCAATAAAAAATGGGGGCATAGTTAGGGCTAGATACAGAAGAAGAAGGAACATTTGGTTTTATCCAGGTTTATGAGACGGCAATAATATGATAAAAATTATGGAGGAAATAATCAATGAATTCATAAAAGTGTGCTGGAAGGGGTTGGGAATTAACATGACAGGTTAATAGGATATTAGTCATATAAGGAAGAGAAAGGATGTGCTTCAGTGAAAGTTCGGAAAAATCGTAATGATATGAATTAAAATTGCCTAAGATAAAGAAAATGTGATAAAAAAGATAAAAATATGGTAAATAATTATCGATTTTAACAAAATAACTAAAATTTTCAACTGAGAAAAATGAATGGCTAAATAAAAATAATAAAAGATAAGTAGAGAAAAAATAAATAAAACTATAAATATTCAAATTAATAAAAAGCATAAAATAATATCTTTTGAAAGAAAAATTAAATATAGAAACTGAAATATGACAAAATATATAAAAACTTAAAGGTGACTGTGAGCAAAGCCTAAAACAGTGTAGATGAAGTTAGATTGGCATCATTGGAATGAGTTAAGATTGCTGGCCTGGTTTATTATCACGACTTGCTCTATCTACTTTACTACACCCGGCACGCCCACTGGAAAACCATACATATTTTATGGGTGATAAATAGTCAGGATGCAGTCATTATAAACATTTTTTTTTATTTGTGCCGTTTCAATCCAAATATGTGGGTCATCATCAGGGCTGAAAATTTTAAAATACAATCAGGGATATAATACTATACAACCGATACTGATAAATAATAAACATTGGCACAAATAAAAAAAAAAAATTTATAATGACTGTATCCTGAATATTTATCACCCATAATATGTAGAACAGTCGACTAGCTTCCTTCAATACATACATATTTTATTTTTTTCCACAATCCTCCTCTGCTGTGCCAGCCAATAAAGATGTCCATTGTATGAGGTCATCTGCTCTGCTACATAGATTCTTTCATCACTATCCCATCCGAGGTGCCTGGTGGAGAAGTCTCTATTTGACATGATGTTAATCATATTTCTATCTAGCTTTTAGCAAAATTCCAACTATAGTAGTAATGATGAATTTATTATATTATTATTATTAATGTTAATAATAACAAAAAAAAATTATTATCTTTAGAAAAATAATTTTAAATAGGGAAAAAAATACACCTAATGGTTGTAGGATGTGAAGGAAGGCATGACTGCCCAAGAAATTTGAGAAAGATCCAGGCAAGACTGAAAGAAATAACAGGACCTAATAGGAATGATAAAAAACTATTCATGACAGTGAATAATATTCAAGGAGTGTTTCCTCACTCTTTGCACAAGTTATAATAATCAGTTTTTTGTCTTTAATATACCTACTTACTCCTAAAATACTGAGTAATTGCCAACATTACTGCTAACCCAGGGGCTGTAGTCTCAGCAGGGTTGTTTCTACTCCTGTACGGAACAGATAGAACAATTGCCTCATTGCTGGCACCTCCTCCACGAATGATTCCATAGATGTTTTTACCACTGTAGGTCTAATAAAATAAGTACGTTAATGATAGATAATAATGCATCTAAAGTAAACAAATAAAGTCATTATGTTAAAACTAAACATTCAATATTAATAAAAATAAATAAAAAAATGACTTCCCCTACAAAAAGATTTTCTGATTTTTTGTTTTTAAGATAACATACTACTTGCATTGCTAATAATAAATAAAATTTATAAAATATATTTTATTTTATAGAAATATAACAGAGGTAAAAAATAAAAAAAATCCATAATACTATTTAACTTATGAGATTAATTAAATGGATGCTCTCCCTCAAATCCATAATTTTTTTATTTTCTATTATTTTTTTTAAATAACTTTCTTGCTCCATTAAACATGGAATAATTATTTATAACTTCAACTAAAACTAATATGATATTAAAATGCATACAATCCTCTATGATTTTTTATTCTGTCACCTAAAAGTACCTGTGTTTTTAGCAAAAATGCCTTAATCAACTATTGCAAAGCTTTTATTTCTTTTTTTTTTCTATGATCTGGGATGCATTATAATAAACATAATTGCCTAAATACACTTTGTATAAATATAAAAAAAATGTTGAAAATAATGAATATTCAAAAAATTTTCAGGTAAAAAGGCTATGAAACCAAAAATTTCTCCAGCTCTCAATTATAGGAATTGATTTGTGATCCTAATATTTATCACTGATCCTAATATTTATGTTTTTAAAAAAAATAATTGAAGCAATAAGCAGGCTTCTTTATGGTAAACGTTTAGGTGACAGGGTGTGCTATATATATATACATATATTGCTACCACCTCACCTACCTTATGGATATTATTTATTTATTAAAAACATATATTTTGTATTATTAATTGACTTGTCTATGCGTATGATATTTTCTAAAGAGGAGAACTAATATTCAAACCATACTACAATAATTTGACAGAGGGAGAAGCTGCAACATATAATTTATATGAAATAATTACTAGTTAAATGTTAATCAAGATTATAAGCTGTAGGAGAGCTGAAACACTACACTCTAAACAAAATATTAATTAAACTTAAAGAACATTAAGTTATTCAACAAAATAGAACCCTTATAAATTATATCAATTAATAAAAAAGTATTCTTTACAATAAGCTTCAATAATTACTAGTTATAAATTTAATTGCAATATAGGCCATTAATTCTTTAATTTTTAGTGCTCCTAATTGAGCTCAGATAAATTTTAATATTTAATTTCAATAGAATATTTTGTATATCTAATAAGGTGCTGTCACCTATTATTGATGTGGAATAATGTAACCAGTTTTGAAATAGATATGTTTCTCGAGAAATATCTTGACATGTCTGGAAGAGGAGGTAGAATCCGCCATCTTAAGCTTGGAAAGAGAGTGAACTTTTTTCTAACCCGTCTCCTCTGATCTCCTCAAAATTGAGCTGTCACACTCAGAGAATATTATAGAAAATATTTCTATGGCTTAGGTGAATAACAACAGCAAACTCTGTAATTCATAATGCGGATACTCAGTTTGCGGAGCTTGACACTTCTGAGAAAAGCTTCCAGTTGTTTTTAAACACTTCTACTCAATTCCGTATCACGTAAAAGTACTAATAAAATTACAAATAAAATTTTATTATGGCATGGTAACTATTTATTAACTATAAATATAACCTTTTATAGTTAACTAGTATTTATTATAGTTATGTATGTGTATATAGCATTTCCAAGTCAAATTCAACCTTATCCAAGTCAAATTAAACCTTTTCCAAATCAAATTAACTTTTTTCAAGTCAAATTCAACCTTTTCCATTTCAAATTAAACCTTTTCCATTTCAAATTCAACCTTCATTCCAAATTAATGTTTTGAATATCTGTAAATTTTTTATTTTTTTTTTTAAATAAGCGCCATCCCTCCCCCACCAATATGAAGAGCTATTATTATGCTCCCCTAAGTAGAGTTTTTCAAAATACTATCGATTTTATGTTACACTTACGGATATCGATTTATTGTACCTATTCAGATTTATTAGGGTCTAGTATTATGCTGTCGTGTGCCTAGTTTTTGAAAATAACCTCCATTTTAAGATTACGCCACTGTGTTTCGACTTATTTACGTTTTTCAAATTTATTAAATATAAGGGTCTACTTTTATGTTTCTAGAGCCGTAGATTTTGAAAATAACCTCCATTTTAAGATTATGCCACTGCGTTTCGACTTATTAAAGTTTTTTTGATTTATTCGATATAAGGGTCTATTTTTATGTTTCCAGAGCTGTAGTTTTTGAAATTTATTTCCATATTAAGACTAGGCCACTATATTTCAGTTTGTTTAAGTGTTTTTTAGTTATCTTTTTTTATTTTGTAGTCTCATCTTACAAAATTATAAGATTTCGGACAATTAGCTGAAATATCTGAATATGGTAGGTTAAATTTATTACTAGTTGCTTTATTGGCGTTTTACTTAGTGTTTTATGCTTAACTTTAGCTCCATAATATTTATTTATTTATACTCGAAAACATATTTATGAAACTTTGTATTGAAAAAAATCAAAATAAAGCTTAATTAATCGAGATGCAGAGGCGTAATCATAAAATGGAGATTAAACATTAGATAAATTTAGATATTAGAGATTAGAAAAATTTCAAATACTACGTCTCAGATAACATATAAGCAGATCTTTACACCGAATAAGTTAAAAAAAACTTTTATAATCCAAAACACAGTGGCATAATCTTAAAATAGAGGTCATTTTCAAAAATTACGTCTCCGATAACATATAAGTAAACTCTTACATCGAATAAATTGGAAAAACGTAAATAAGTTAAAATGCAGTGGCGTAATCTTGTAATGGAGATCATTTCGAAAATCTACGGCTTTGGAAACATAATAATACACTCTTATATGGAAAAAATCTGAAAAACTTAAATAAGTCAAAACACAGTGGCGTAATCTTGAAATAGAGGTCATTTTCAAAATCTATGGCATAAGGACATGGAAACATAAGAATATACACCCTTATATCGACTAAATTCGAAAAACTTAAATAAGTCGAAATGCAGTGGCGTAATCTTAAAATGGGGATTATTTTCAAAAATTAGGCACAGACAGCATAATACTACAAACTAATAAATCCGAATAGGTACAATAAATCGATATCCGTAAGAGTAACATAAAATCGATAGTATTTTGAAAAACTCTATTTAGGGGAGCATAATAATAGACCTTCATATTGGTGGGGAGGAGGTGGCCTTTATTTAAAAAAGTAAAAAAAAAATTCGAAACATTAATTTGAAATGGAAAAGGTTGAATTTGACATGGAAATGGTTGAATTTGACTTGGAAAAAGTTTAATTTGATTTGGAAAAGGTTGAATTTGACTTGGAAAAGGTTGAATTTGATTTGGAAAAGATTTAATTTGATTTGAAAAAGGTTTAAATTGACTTGGAAATGCTATATATATATTAACATCTCTCTTATATTTTTCTTATAATATAACCTCATGGAAGATCACTTTATACTGTTGGGATACTTCCTAAATAAATAAGAGGTTATTAAATAATAAACAAAATTATAAGAGTATTAACTAATTAAACTAAACTTTATAATTATTTTATCTCAAGGTATGGATTACTGACAATCAGATCAAAACCCTCAGACAAACTATTATTATTTATACTAAAATTAAACACTGATTAAAGTCAAATGTGGATTGGCACTGAATTCATTTGTCTTCAAACACACCTTCCAAAATGGTAACACTTTCTTCTACTCAACTCAAGTTTCCTGGGAGATCCTCTCTCTCGTATTTCCAAACAACTTGTCACTCTGCTAAACAACAACTTCCAAGATGGTAATACTATTACTGAGTTTTACTCACTGGAGCCAGCATCCCTTTTCCCATCCTCCCTTGACCATCTCCTTACAGACGTATGTTGCTTGCGGCAGCTTGGATAGCCTGGAGGGAGTCATCCAACCTCAGGTTGCTACAAACCATGGTCTCCATGGTGCAGCAGCAGGCCACCCGTAGCTCCATAGCCGATCCCTTTGGGACAAATCTGGGGGGCGGGAAACTCGGGCTTTCCCTGGTGGACGGTCACCCAAATCGGGAGGTCTCCCATCCAAGTACTAACCACGCTCGACGTTGCTTAACTTTGATTACCTATTGCAAGCGCCTTAGCCCGTACCGCTACCCCAGCCTCACAATATATATATATATATATATATATATATATATATATAACCCAATTATGCTAACAAAATAAATACATAAACATATTTTATGGTAATAAATAAAATATACTCTCCCTAACTTAAAAAGCTTTAATATTATAATAATCAGTAATAACTTGAAAAGAATTAAATAGCTTAATATAAACTAGATAATCTAACATTCTAAATTACCCCAAAACTTCCTGACAATGTGAAGTTGTGAACAAATGATTCTACAAAAGCGAGAGTAAACTTTTCCCTGAGCCAGTCCTCTGGAATTGATTCTCCATCCAAGACATAGTCTTCCATCTCTCTTAAAATGGCTTTGGCATCTTTTTGCAGATCAGATCCAACTACAACTAGCCCCGGAAGTAATGCATTTTCAGAGAGGTAGGTAGCTGTAAAAAAATAAATAAATAAGATTTAGTAAATAATCGTATAAATCATTTCACTTATACATAATATTTTTCAAATAATAAATGTAAATTAAGACTAAAATGTACGATTGGTCCATAGCACAGGTGGAGAACTTGCAGCCTAGAAACGTTATTGTGCAATATTTATTAATCTAGCCCTAGAATTAATTAATATTTAATTTTATAGGTTACAAATAATTGAAAATTAATAAAATTAAGTTGAATATACCTACACAGGTTATAATTGTGAGTGAATAAAAATAGCAACAATAGAATATAAAAAAAATTGGGCCTCCATTAGCACTGCCTAACCTTCCTGTGGCCTCTAATTATAAAAAAGGTTCTTCACATATGGTCCATAGCTATATTATATTTTAAAGTAGAAATAAAAAAAAAAATCAAATTAGTTTGTAATGTCATTTTAAACCTTTTGAATATTAAGTGGAATCACTTTGCCCCATGTTTAAAAATCTAATTATTAAAACAAAAATTTTCACCAGACTGGAGGAAATCCAACTTCCTATCTTCTTTATTACATATGGCAGAATGCATATTATTACAATGCAAAAATGTATTTATTACATTTTGTCCTTTAACAAAATTAACTGATTCTATCAGAACACCACCTGATACTTTTTGTACTCATAATTTAGATAGTTAAATATACTAGATTTAACTAAGTAAATATTACTGGAACCTAGCACGGATCTCATTACCGCTTAGGAGAGCATCCCACAGGTGATGCTGTGGAGAAGGTTGGTGGAAATTCCTCCCGACTAAGTCCGATGGACTCGCTGGCCAACCATGACAGCAGCCCTCCAGGCTTGCTGGAAGGTGTGAGGTGGGGATGAACACCCTACTCTCATATATTTAGTTCACCGTACTCCACAAATATTCATGGACCTCCCAAGGGCCGTCGCAACGGGTGGGGCCCTGTGACTAGGGGGTGCCACGGATCGGGAACAAACATTAAACCTAATTAAGAAAAAACCCAATTTAAATAAGAGATGGCTAAGAAAGTATATGTATTTGTAGAGCAAATTTATACCAATAAAAAGTATTTTAAATCTATAATAGATAAATAATGTCACATGGTTATATCATACTATAATAATATTGTAGCATAACATAAATATTTATTTTTTATATAGTTTAAAGAGGAAAATGTTAGCTACTGAGGGTATTTCTACAAAAAGGCTAAGTTCATGTCTGTTCGGTGAATATCAGACAGAAATATCACTCTCTCCATTCACCCTATAACTTTGTATACACGTTAACACCCAACAATCTTTCTTAGTTCCTTGTATCTTATCTTAAATGTTGAACATAAGAGGTCATTTTTCTTAAAGTGAACTGGTGAATTATATTTTATTAATTAATTACGTACCACAGGGGTTAACTGAGGTGCACAGCTAGCGGGGATTAACTATCCTCCGGTTTCGTGAGTTCAGTACACTGTACCAACACCCTCAGAACAATACACTTTACATTGACTCTGACACAAGGACGTTAGTGTCGACTATTTTATATACGATCGAGGAATAAGACAATATTTCAGATATGTGAAAGTAATAAGAGGAGCAGAAATAGGTATCCATCCATTGTTAGTCGTGAATACCAAAATTTTAAAAACCCACAAGGATCTGTTTAAAGTTAACCAGGCTACAAAAGTGTGGGCTCTGGACGATCCAGATACGAGAAAACTATACTCTGCCAAATTGGAAGAAAGCCTCAGAGTATTGGATTTACATGGATATACAGAGAAACAATAGAACACTCTAAAAGCTTCAATTTTGTGAAATGTCAAGATCTTGTAGTAGATAGTCTCTATTTACTCCTTTACTTGACACTGAGTGAGGGAATGAGAAGGAATGTATAGGAATGTGGGGTAGCGCTATGAATTGGACTTAATTGTGGAGTGGACAAGTTGTTGAGTGAAAAGTACCAAATCTATAAACAATCAACGAAAAAGGTACAAAACAAAGAAAGGAAGAAGCCTGGAAAAGTGGTGGCAGTCGGCAACAGCTGAAGAAGGACACTAGAAGAACAAAGAAGTCACTTAAGGCTACGAAGTACGAAATAAGTCATGAAGATGGAAATACGTAAAGGCAGGAGAGAAGCACTCCACTGAAGATTAAGAAGATCAAGCCTTCAGTTATAAGACTTTAATAGATTCATGCATTATAGTTGTTAAAATAAATTATCTTATTATACAATAGTGGATGGTCCTTTTATTTAGTTGTCCAATATGCCTCACAATAAAAGAACAAACCAGGTGAGTCAATGCATATAAAGTGTATTTACTCAGTCCACCATTTCATACATATATTCTTATTATCTCTTGCCACTCAGTGTCACAAAAGCATTAGGTTCCCAAATTCCCAACAGCAGTAAACACCCTGAAAAAAGTTTATATCCAGAGCAGGGATTTTGTTTTTAAAAATTAAAATTCACGAGTGTAAATAACCAAGAGCCCGATGAAACGGAAGGTTAATTAGTTAAGGCAAAAAGAAACAAGCGGGTAAGTCCTACCAACAGAATAAGATGTCTAATAACTTTTCTCAGTACAGAAATGTTAGAAATGAGGCAAATACAGCAGCTAAAGCAGCTAGAAAGAAGACCTAGGAAGAATTTGGATTAAGTCTTGATCAAAATCAAAGAGAAAACATAAAAAAAATTTGGCACACTTGGATGATATCCATAAATATTGTAAAAGGCAAACAGCCCGAATAGTCATGAGTAAGTGGAACATGAAGATGATACTCAACCAACAAGTTTTTCTTGTATGCAGATGACGTCATTTCCTTTGTGATACGAAAGAGAAACAGCAGCAAGCTTTACTGGAATGACAGGAGGAACTTAGGAATATATCCGAGATGGTAGATTTATGGCTATCCAAGTCACCAATCCCTAAAATGTTAATGTGCACTGGGCTGACTGGTAAGAGTTCCGAAGCCAATACCTCAAATAAAATAAATTTTTTGTATTTTGCATTTTAAGAAATAAAATTTAAAAAAAAAAAATGATTTTTGTAACTTTATTTTCGTTTTAAAATACAAAAAAAGCATTTATATTTTATTTCTAGGATACCAAAATACAATACAGACAGTGGATGGGAGTATGTAGGCAGAAATTGGACATCGAACTCTCGTTATTGCTAAGCCTTTATCATTATTATCACTATATTCATCTCTCCTTCTTTATTTAAACATAGGTAACAGGCAATTACCAAATTTCTGACGGTGTGGGAAGAGCGCCCCGGTAAAATCTCGCCCCGAGCCCATGGAACGGCCCTGGATATCCCTAAAATAAAACACTCATTATCCGGAGGTAAACTAGTCTCTCGTTTAGGTCTCCAAATGGGGACTATTTTAGGGGATTCATGGCTCAAATTGAAAATTAGGAATTTAAATATAGGAACGTGGAATCGGTTGCAAATGAGGTTAATGGGTACTATTGGGATATTGTGGCACTACAAGAGATTCGCTGACCAGAAGGAGGGCTCGATAAGAAGAGGGAAGTACACTATTGGGTATGGCGGAAGCGAAAATTGTTGTTTAGGCACTGGGTTCCAGTATTGAAGGAGTTCAAGTATTAAGTATTGATTATTAAGCATTCCTAGGTAGTAGGTAAGTGGGAGAATTATCAGAGGGTTTCAGTAACATTATTGCTTATGGGATACACTTCTATCGATAAATACAATATTTATGTTAACATCTATATAATAGCTAAGTTACATCTAATCGTTAACAAATTATAACTATTGGTAACAGCTTCGGCCAACATTTTGAAAAAACAAAACAAAAATTTAGAAAAACACATGTTAAAAAGAAAAACAAGTACAATATCAAATTACAGGAAATTTTAGGCTGATAAAGTATATAATATTGGTTTTTAAAAATCTAAGGAAATAACAAAATGGTGAACGTAAAACTTAAATCTTTTGTAGTATTAAAAAAATATTTTTAAAACATATCTTTAGGAATAATTTTGCTTATAAAAAAAAAAAGAATTGTATATTAAGTAAAATATATAAATCTTGAATTCTGTCAACATTAAACTGTCTTTTGTGCTTGTAGTAATTTCTACAACAGTTTTTACAGGCTACAGTAATGACGAAATGTACATTTCATGGTTTCATATGGTTCTTTAACTAGTTTGTCAGGCGCATTTAATCAAATTTAAGAGTTTGTCTGATGCTGTGAAGTCTCCATCAACCAAGTGCCAACCACATAGTGAAATGTTATCCTTATATATTACTCATAATGAACAACATTTAGGTTGGATACTATGACACAATATATTTAGCAGGATTTAAAAGAGAAAAGAGTATGCTAAGCCAGATCTTCATTCTAAAACAGATACTCAAAAAATTATGCAAAGCAGCTCAGGATGTGCACGCCTTTGTCAATTTCAAAGCAGCTTATGATTCTGTGGACAGAAACTGTCTTTGAAAGATCATCATATAATATCTAGTCCTGAAATAAGTGACGCTTGGGAGATGGACGCTCACCAATGCTGTTCAATTTAGCACTGGAGATGGTGATTAAAAGGAACTCACATGAAAATAAAGAGGTGTATGTCAGAATTAATCATAAAATTCTATGATATGAGATGAAATACAGATGTCCTTGGAAACAATCAAGAGGACTAAGAGAGGTTTTCTGATAAGAGAAACAGAGCAAATCAGCCAACATATGATTGGGAATTAGTACTAAAAATAAAGTAAATAAATGAATTCAAAATCACAAGCCTACAATAATAAATTATCCTTTATAATAAGGAAATGTTTATTATTTATTACATTACTTAACAACCACAAACACAAGATTTAAATCACCTGTGAGCACCTAATGATTATAATTAAATCACCAATGAGCTAATTCATAAAATATATAGAAATAAGATTATCTTGTACTTTTAAAGTTTCTACCCTAGACTGCCAAATCAGCAGAGACCCGATTTTTATACAGTAAATACCCAAACAATATGTCATAAAATATGCAATAAAAAAATATAAAATACGCAATCAGACAACAAAAACATTGAAATATACTGAGCCCAATTTTTAAACAAATTAATAAAGAATATTCTACAAATTGAGAGTGAATATTTATGGAATTGGGCCAATAAAAAAAGAACATAATAATTATATTAATTTGACAAACGAAAAAGTGAAAGAAAAAGAAATATGAATTAATGTTAAAAAAATTTGGTGTGCGCATCACATGACTTTCACTTACCACCCTCTTAGCAGAAATAAGTATGTTCAGACAAAAGGGAAGTGGAAGTAAAAATTATTGATGCTATATTTATTTACAATAAATTGTGGGTAGTTTTATTTGTTTAAATACCCTTATATATACAAATTTTATACTTTATTCTATAAAATTAAATTTTAAATAATACCATCGATAGCATTATGAAAACTGCATATGTATATGAACATAATATTGTCGGAGTCCGTATTATATGAAGCTCATGTTACGTATGGAAGCCTGTTGTAATCTTTCGGGCAAGCTCGTATTCCTTTGATTCCACTATTACAACTATTATCAGTTACGATCTCTTATTTCTCCTTTAGTTAATTATCAAATTCTTTCATATTTTATATTTAACTATTTTTATATCAAAGATTAATGTGAAATGGTTAATTATTTCAAATAAAAAAAAATAAAGGTACTTTAGAGGAAACCAATATTGAAAATTAGCCATTTAAGCCCTGATAGAGAACATCAATGAGAATAAAACCTACATTATATTAAAAACAAACTGCTTAATAATACACTGATATAATAATTTTGAGTTTAATCAAAATTGTTAGTGCCGTTTTTGAGAAAATTGTAAAAATGTATTAAATCTATTATATTAAGTACCACTTCCAGTTTGCCAATTTTGACAAAAATCTTGCTGTAACATCGAAAGCTTATAAAAACTTTAAATATGCAATTTCACTTTCATACAACTTTTTTTTTAGCTATACTGATAACATACATACACACTCACACACACATACACAGACGCGGGACTAGGTTATTTGGACTCAGGACACCTCAAAACATGTATTTCCTTTGAAAATTCAGATACGAAAATTTTCAGGATTGCAATATTTACCCCTTACTATATAGCATATATAGGTAAGTGAAAGTAAAAATAATAATAACGCTTTTTAAAAACAAAAATCGCAATGTAACAAAGTAATACAAACTTGCAATTAGGAACAAAAGAAAAGCAGCAGTAGATAACTGTATTAAATAAGTAAAACTAACTTTAAAAAAAATGAATATATAATAGTTAAGATAATACTATTATTACTACTATAGTACTATTATTAGTAGATAGTACTATTAGTACTTCCTGAGAGTAGAAAATTCAAATACCTCGACTCCACAATAATCTCAATGAATGACCAACGGGCAGAAATAGACCAGCGTATAACTAACACAAAGAGCTTTTTTTCTACCTTTGAAAGGTATAGAGATCCCGAAAAATCTCAAATTAAGGTGTACAATGCTATGTTAAAGACAGTTCTAATATATGACTGTGAGACCTGAATATTAACCAGGACCCTAGAAAAAAGTGTTGAAAGATTTAAGAGAAAAATCCTCCACACAATAACCGGAGTGATCTGGAATCAGAGTACTAACACATGGAGAAGAAAGAGCAATAAAGAATTGCTTACAGAAACTATTCAATCAATATCCCAGGATATTGATACAAAGGTTAAGATGGGTGGGGTTTTAGCTCGTAGCAATCCATCTGGAAGCCTCTACACGACAATAAATGCCTTATTAGTAGGCAAAAGGCCATGCGGAAAGCAGCCAAAAAGCAGATAGATAGATCGAATAAAAAAGATGCAATGGAGCTGCTGCAGATAACTGGAAAAAAAGAGCCCAAGAAATAAAATATATTAAAAACATAAACATTGACATTTGACACATAATGTGAGATACTTTTAAAAATATAAAAGTAATAGAAACATACAATCAGTAATAAAAGAAAATTAGCAATGATCGTATTTAAAAACTAATTTACACCAACAAAATAGTTAAAATGCATATGGATTATGGATGGTAGGTGACATTTAATGCATTAAAATTAATTAAAAGATATCTAAATTTGTTTCTGTAAATCCTTCTATCAATAAAAATATTTCTATAACAAAATGACCGTTCTACACCAACAGATGTAATGGAGGAAAATTTATATGCACTTCAAGTTTAATATTTTTCATCAGGCCCTTGATTTGAACAATAACTGTTTCTTTATGGTATATTAAGTATCAATCCAAGAATATAAAATCATATGAAATGATGCACTACCTTTGGTCAATGAAAATAATAATAAATATTATTAAATGATTAACCGTATACTGTTGTTGAAAATAAACATATGATAGAAATTTGACCTTCAATTTTGCATTTTAATTTTTTTTACTTGATTGAAACTATGAAATATATAATATAAAATTTGATTAATTGCATCTTAATACACTGATTCATAGGTCATTGATTTGATTTGATCAGCAGTTTAAAAACTGCATGCAAATAAAATGATCACATACAAATTGGGGCCTTAGAAATCAGATAATTGTTATTTCACCTTGGGGTACATTTATCTTCAGCCTTAAATACATTATAAACTTTGGTACTAGCTCTACATCACATCGATCGTCCTGTATATGGAATTTCAAAAGTCAGGTGTTGATGTATAGGCCAGAGGGATAAAATATCCATGAATCCTTTTCAGTTAAGATTTGGTCTCATTAATGGAGAACAGTCCTCCCTCTATAGTTTCAGAAACACTTAGCTACTTGTGGAATTGTATATACAGTCCAATTTTAGTCTATCAGACAAATATGACTAATGAACTAGTATCAATAGTAGTCAAGATACTTATAATACATTAAAATATGTTTTTACACGTAATGGATGTGCATTCATGATGAATAAATTTGGAAAAATACATACAAAAAAGAAATCATAAAATATTACTTTTTAATTTAGTGAGGTGGATAAATACACAAAAACCCAATTTTCAATTAGACACTAATATAGTAACTTAATAGCATATGAGTGTGTAAGAACATTACCTGAATTAATCTGATCACTGGCCAAACACAAAAACCAAATAATGGACATCACATATAGAAGAAAACATACTAATTTATGCCTCTTGACTAATATTTTAAATGGTTTGCCTTTGAGTCCTGATGGATCAGTTAAAAGAGCCATATTTTGCCGAAACCAATGATGTTATTACAATTTATAAAATCATCACAGCTTAAAAAAAAATAAATAAAGCAAATGTGAAAAGATTCTTATCAAGAGTATAACTGTGGTAAACAGAAGGTTACTAAAACAAAAGAGGTTTTTAAAAAAGTAAGATTAAAAAAATTAATCCATTATCATAGGAAAATCCGGAAATAGACGGGTTATAGGAAAAAATACAACATATATTATTAATATTGCAATTTAAATTAGATATGACTAAGAAACTTCCATCTTAGTAAACAGTTAAGGATTGTATAGTATAATTCAAACGATAGGAGATCGCGATGGAAAAGTTCAAACGAACGGTTCCACAATCTAAGCGGTCATAGAAAATATAATATAATAGAAGGGACATTCCCCTAAGGACAGGTGCAAGTTGAGCATCAGCTTGGTGAGCGGATATCACAAAGGGTACTACAGTGAAGGAGGATTAAATCGACTATGAGGAGTAATGTACACCTTCCACATCACTATGAATGTATGAATGAATGAATGAATGACAAAAAAGGGCTTGTAGAGTGCATGGAGTATGGACAAGCAATTCATTTTTAAATTTGTTGGTGACACTTATGTGGTAAAGATACTAAAAGTCCCCGTCCCTATCCCATCCGCTTCATGGTGGGAGGTAGCCATATGTATGGGCTGCGGTAGCCATGCGGGCTGAGGCGCTTGCAATGGGTAATCAAAGTTAAGCAACGCCGAGCGTGGTTAGCACTTGAAAGGCTTCAGATACGTTTCCTTGTTTTAGTAACCTGCATTTAGGATCATTTGTACACGGCTTCGTCAACCTCACTAATTTCCCGGGAACACCCAGCTCAGTCATGATCTTCCAGAGACAGTTTCTGTCCACGGAGTCATAGGCTGATTTGAAGTCGACAAATAATGCGTGTACGTCCTGATCTGCTTCCCATCGTGTTTCGAGTACTTGTTTTAGGATGAATATCTGGTCTAGCGTACTCCTTTCTCTCCTAAATCTTGTTTGATGGTCGCCTATTATGATTTAGTAGAATATTAGTCATTATTTTATGGACAACCGGAAGAAGTGCTATGCCTCTGTAATTTCCACATTTTTACATGGAGCCCTTCTTAAGGATAGGACAGATCAACCCTGTGCTCCATGCTTCTGGTATCCATTCCTTCTCCCATATCTTCTGGATTAGATCTAACAGCTTGGCTCTGAGGTCTTCTCCCCCATCCTTGAACAATTCTGATGGTAGGTTGTCTATCCCTGGAGCCTTTCTTCTTTTAAGCCTGCCATAGCTATTTCCACATCCAGAATATCTGGTTTTTCAACATCAAGTGGGTCGATGCCCTCAGTGTGGTCCATGTCTTCTTCGTTTATGGGTTGCCCTTGATTAAGCAGTTGCTGGAAGTGTTCCTTCCATATGCTTAGGATATTTTCTTTTTATGCCGTCAGTTTGCCATCTTTGCCTCGCATTTGTGTATTTCTTGCTTTATATCCTACCCTTTCTTTCCTGATATCTGCGAAGAATTCGAATATATTTCCAGCCTGCCTGTTTTCCTCAATAGTTTGTAATCTTTCTTTGAGGAATTCTCTTTTGGCTGTTCTTATTATTTTGTTTGTCTTTTTCCTGGCGGCTGTGTATTTGTCCTGCATAGCTTGATCAGTTTATAAGCAGAGGAATTTTTTTCTTTCCTCTACCGCCTTTTCGCATGCTTCTGTGAACCATTTCTTGGCTTTTATTTTTCTTCCCAGTGTCGGTCAATCGTGGGACCTTCCGAGTTCAAAGGTTCGAATTTATTTTTCAGCTCAGTTTGAAATTCAGCTTTTACTACAGGGTTTTTCAAATTACAGACTTCATACCTCTGTCTTTCTACTTGGTTCCCAATTCGGTGGATTCGTTTCAGCCTCTGACAGAGATTGATTTTAATCAGAGAATGGCCCGAATCACAGTCTGATAATTCCTTATGTCTTGTATGGAGCTTTGATGCCTCTTGTCTGTCAGCACATGGTCGATTTGGCTTTTTGCTCCTTTAGGACTTACCCAGGTATACTTATGTATGTCTTTGTGCAGGAACATCGTACTGCTTACTACTAGACCTTTAGCTGCTGCCAGACTAATGCATCTCACTCCATTGTCATTGCTAGTTTCGTGGAGACTTTGGCCTCCGATGATGGGCTTATATTGGGTTTCTCGACCTATCTTTGCATTGAAGTCTCCCAGGGCTAATTTTATGTCATGTTTTGGAGCCTGGTCCACAACTTTTTCTAACTGATCGTAGAAATCGTCCTTCACCTCACTTCGGTTGGTGCATATATATAATTGTAGTTATACATATTGGTGCATACATTTAATAACATACATAACATATATGCATACATAACATATACATACATAACATATATATATATACATATGTTATGTATATATGTTATGTAAAGGAAAAGAAGTTTGTGACAATTGTACCTCTTTTATGTGATAAAAATGTTATTATTAAGCCTGACTATCTAAACATTATAAGTTAATATGAGATTAAATAGAAAAATGGAAAGTTTTGTGGTCTTAGAAATAACAATTTTATAGTTGACTTCAATAAATTGGAAACTGAAAAGGAAAGTTATTTTACAACAAACCGACGAAAAATTCATTTATTTAAACCATATACATAAAATAAATTCACTAATAGAAGTATTGAAACACAAATTTTGTATACCAGCTTATACATATACATTTCCCTTTTAATACATTTAAGTTTTATATATATATATATATATATATATATATATATATATATTTAAATTTGTGGAAATTGTATCTCTTCAATCTGATACAATGCGAATAATTCGCACAGTATATTGGTCAGTGATGAAATGACAATATAATAAGAAAATAAAAAATGCAACGTATCATAAGATGGAGGAAACTACCATTATTTTCACGGCAATTATAATCGGCCAAAGAAATGAAAATTAATTTCCGTCTTTATTCATGTTTTAAACCAACATGTTTAAAAATTACAATAAGTTGCATCTTTGCCAATAATAGTCTGATTTCGATGATCATTTTTCGTTTTGTAGGGAATTCATTAATCTTTAAAATAATCATGGGTGTAAATTTTTGTTAAAATATATAATGCTTGCGTTGTTCCCAATAATTTATAACTCTTTAGGATTTTACTCTAAATCATTGTTCCTACAACCGTTGGAATGCTGCATTGCTGTTCTTTAAAATAATATCAATAAATTTTATTTTATTGCCTTTCACCTCACGTTTGTTCAGGTTAAGTGCGGTTAGACCATTATCCATTCTTGAGATTGCGAGGTAAACCTCAGTGGTTTTTTAAGGAAGTATCGGCGCAGAGCCACTTTCTGCTTGCGGCAAGCTTCTTCGATATTTAGCAAACCACGTCCTTCTTCTTTCCTAGGTAAATACAGACGAGCTTTGGAGGATATTGGGTGGTGGGTCCGTTCTTGTGTGAGAGTCGTTCGCACAAGGCGCTCAAACTCCTGTAGAGTGGTGTTTGACCAGTGCAATATGTCGAAACTATAACTGAGAGCAGGTATTGCCCAGGTATTAATAGACTTGATTTTTTGTTTCCCAGTTAGCTGGGTTTTGAGCACTTTCCGTAATCTAATTTTGATCATTGTCAGAAGGTCTTGTTGCATGTCTTTTCTTGCAATTTTAAGATGTTGTTGCATGCCCAAATATTTATATAACTTATTGTCTTCAAGCTCCTTGATGTAATATTTTTCATTTATTACAATATTCTGCGTACTAACCACTTTTCCTTTGGTTACATAGAGCACTGCACATTTATTCAGACCGAGTGACATGCCTATATCACTAGTACAAGATGATACGGCTTCAACCATACTTTGTAATTGGTCTTTTTTTTTTGCATATAGTTTAAGGTCATCCATGCACCAGCTGTGGCTAACTGTGGTGGCTTCGTCGTTGATGATTAGTTTTTATCCCATCTTGTTCTTTCGAAGAATTCTGCTTATTGGGAACAAAGCCACACAGAACCATAAGGGGCTTAGACAATCCCTTTGGTATATTCCTCTCAATATTTTAATTTGATTCCCTGAGCAGATAGTTCCAACTTTCAGCGTAGTTTTCCATCGTGTCATTAGGTTTGAAAGGAGCCTGCTTACTTTAGATTCAACCTTGTATATATCTAGTACTTTAAGTAGCCATCTGTGTGGAACCGAGTCAAAGACCTTTTTATAATCGATCCATGCCATACAGAGGTTTCGCTGTTTTTTCGAAACTTGTGCTGCAATGAACGAATTTATTACTAAGAGTTCTTTACAGCCCCTGGCCCCTTTTTTGCACCCTAGCTGTTCTATGGGTATCATATTATCACTTTCAAGGTGGTCATATATCTCAGTTGCCAACATAGAAGTTAGAATTTTATACAGACCATTTAAACACGTTATTAGCCGACAATCTTCAGGACGCATGTTTAATTCATTCTTTTTCGGAAGCATATACGTGATGCCATCAGAGAAACCATCGGGGAGGCTCTGTTTGTCTTCAAGTATTTCGTGATAACCTTTGGCCAGCAAATCATGCAAGCAATGAAATCTTTTAATCCAATAATTTTGGATACCGTCAGGCCCTGGTGCAATCCAATTTTTCATGTTCTTGACCGCTTCCGAAACATATTCCACTGTTATTGTCAATTCCATCATTTCAGTGGCATTCTGAAGAATTTGGAATTCTTCTTGTATCCAAGAGCTCTCAAGGTGATTCCCCAATTTTCCCCATAAATTTTTCCAATAGGTTTCAATGTCATCATCATATTTGATCGATATTTTTTCTTCTTTTACAAGGGTTCTATAAAACTGGCGTTCATTCTGCTTGAACAGCTGATTTTATTTTCTGCGTAAAGCTGCCTCACTAAATCTACGCAATCTGCGTAAACTGCCAGCTTTTGTTTCAGACTATCTAGATATAGAGTCAGCCTATTAATTAACTCACTTTCCATTACGGTTCCCAAATTCTGTATTCTATAATCTCATCTATTTTCCTTTTTGTCTTAGGTCTTCCAGCTTGAGGGTTACGAATATAGTTTAAGATGACGCCAATTTTTCCACGTAAGGTATCAATTTTCCTTTGAAGTCTTCTCTTCCACTGTGGTATTCCGCTATATCCTATTGGAAGTTTATTTCTACTTTTATCTTCCAATTTTGTGCCCAGCTCTAATGCAACTATCTTGGCAGCAATATATAGCCAATGGGGAATATCTTGAAGACCATTAATTAGGGCTATATTTTCCTCAAGGACATTATTCATTATATTGGTTATTTTAATTGTGGCCTTATTGTATGATACTCGTGGTAACGATGGTCGCTCCTGAAGTGGTATTCCCTCAAGCAGAATATGCTCGGTCAAAAGTGATTGGCTCAATCTTTTTTCTATATTCGCGTC